TATTATATAGGTAGCTTATAGTAAAGTAAGGTATTTACTACTCTATTATATAGTATATATAGAGGCTATAGAATATAGCTAGTAGTTAAGAAAAACTATAGTGCACTTAGGTATACTATAGTAATAAGTAATAAGGTACTTATAATAATCCTTATCCTTAGGTAGGCTATTATAGGTAGTTACCTTAACTAGCTTAGTAACCTTTTTAATAAGTAACTTAAGGATCTTAAGCTTATTTTTATTATAGTTTTTATAGGTAATTAAGTTAAATAATATATAGTAAAGCTTAGTAATATAGGCTAAGTGTACTTTATTACTTTTAAATTATTCTTTAAGTTTTACTATTAAAGCATTAAAATTACTTACTTATTAGTAAAAGGTAAAAGTGTAATACTTTTATAGTTTACCTTAAAGTATTACTTAGATTACTACTCTATAGTAGTCTTACGTTATACTTACCTAGATATAAAGGTTATAGAATAATAGTAATTTTAAGTTAATAGCCTTATATTAGCTACTAGTGTACTTTATAGCCTAGTTATTAAAGTATATCTTTATAAGGTTACTTATTTACTTTAGCGTTAGCCTTAATATTACTGTTAATATTACTATAGCTAATAAGAGCTCCTATAGTAGTATAGTAGTTATTATATATAGGCTATAGATTTTAGCTATTATATAGGGTTTTAGTGTTAATAAAGGCAGTAGTAAAGTAAAGGTTAGGTTATTATAGGAGGTCTAATAGGTAACTACTAGTAATAGGTAGACTTTAGCTAGTTTTTTACTATATAGGATTATATTATAACCTTAGATATTCTTAATAAAGTTAAGGTCTTTAAGGTGTAGTTTAAAGTTATATAATAATCTTTTAATAATAGTAATTATCTTATTAGTCTAGTAGGCGCCTTCCTCTTATTAAAGGGTATTAAATATATATTAAGTAATTAATAGGTGTTTACTATAGTTAACCTATACACTATAATTAATAATAAAGTTATATAGGCTTATTAAGACCTTTTAGTTAATTACCTTAAAGTTATTTATAGACTATTTACTAAAATCCTTATAGGTATAGTAGAGTAATTTACTACTAATATAGTTATAGTACTTATAACTACTAATATAAAACATAGTAATAGTGTTAAGCATAAGAGCTTATTACTTACTTATAAGGTTAATTAATAACTTCTTAATATAGTCTTTTCTTTATTACTATAGAAGAATACACTATATAAGGTTAATAGGTATAGTAAATATATTATTAATTACTACTACTTATTACCTTATATTAGGTAGTATATTATACTTACTATAAACTTCTTCTTGTTGCCTTATAGGCAAAGGTATAGTAACCTATAAGCCTTACTTACTTATAAGCTTATTATATTTACTTATCTTAGCTTAGGTCTTCTACTTATAAGTATAGTGTTATTTACTATTACCCTCTATTAACCTAATAACCTCTTAAACATAGGTGTTTCTTCTAGTAGACTAAAAAGTATATACGTTTATTAGAGAGATTACTACTAGTAGTATAGACAGTTAAAGAAAAATATACTCTTATAAGTAAATAACTTAGAAAAAAATAATAGGCTATTACGTTAGCTACTTATTAATACTATTAGTTAGTAAAAAAAGGGAAAATAATAGGCTATTATATTAGTAACTTATTAATACTATTAGTTAGTAGAAGGAGTATATATATAGGAAAAAGAAGTTAGTAAGCTAAAAAGCTTATAATAAATAAGGTATAGTAAATAATTACTAGTTAGCTATAGGTATATAAAGTAAAAGGTTTTTTATAGTTAAGAGTGCTTCTCTAAAGGTAATAAAGCTTATATAATAGACGTAAATTAATAAGGTTTCTACTAGTTAAGGGGACTAGTTATAGATCTATTAATTAACTTATTATAATAGGTAATTAGTATAAACTATTATAGTAAAGGTATTTATAGAGGCATTTTTTAGTACTTACCTACTCTAGGTGTATAAATAATTAACTAGTAATAATTACCTCTTCTTATAGACCTTACTAATCTATAGTTTAGACAGTAAAGTTAACCTTTATAGTTAATAGTAAAGTTAACTACTAATTAGTGTTAGTAACACTAAGGGATAAGTTAATATAGTTAACTATATATATTAGTAGTAATTAATAAATAATAAAGGTAACTATAGTTCTCTATTATATATAAAGAAAAAAAGGATAATTATTGTAGGTTAGTTAGTTAAATAGCTAACTTATTGCCTACAAATCCTTAGAGAATCTATAGCTGAATATCTAAGGATTCGCCGGCGATAAGTCATTAGGGTTAACCTGATAACTCCAATATTTATCTGCAATGGTCAACATTACAACAACTTTGTTTTATTATATATTAACTATAAGAAAGGCTATAACCTTTATCTATATTAACTAAGGCTATAAAGACGTACGTTTATATATAATTAGGATATATAAATAGCATAGCGTCTAGAGCCTAGTGACTAAATATAACCAGCGGCACTAGTAATTAAATACAAGATGCCACGGCAAATCAATACTGATTTAGCCAGTGGTCATAGGTTTATGTACACCAGGCAACAGCCGCTTTTTCACAGTGACTCTACTGTCCCAAACCCTTGTGTTTAAAAGCGCAAATCCAGTATCAGACTAGGTCTGTCAATTATCACACATGTTCGTAATCTGCGCATGGCATGTTGACGTGCACCACGAAATAATTCACTTGGAATTGCGCTTCTGGTGAATGATGTATTTGCAGACAACTACTCGGTATTCAGTGTACATGTGTAATCAAGTATATATCCGGGGCTGGACTGTGCCTAAGTACAGTTGCCGTTCTTGTCAACAGCGCGCGAGCAGCAGCTGGACGCGCCGCTCACGGGAAAGACTAGGAAGAACATGTATATCAGCATGTGGTACTACTCACAGATAGACTAGAGTACAATTATGTTCAAACTTACGGCCTTTGTCAACACAGGTGGAAATCGTGTCGGTACACTTGCGGTCAAGGCCACAGAAGACGCAGCAATCGTCACCGTACACGCAAGGAGCTGTTAATGAGGAAAGCTTGTTGTTAGCAACACTCTTAAATACATATCTTATATGCCTACGTAGGTAGCCTGGACATACAGCCATTCATCTAAGCAAGGATCAATGTTTTGACATACCGCCAGCTTTGCCGCAAGAGCGCTCTTCAAGACCCGAGAGCTCTGAGGGAACAGCCGCAGCAGCGGCAGAACAGGCAAGAGCCAGGTTAAGGAGGACAGTGAAAGCCTTCATTTTGGTGTTTCCGGGTTTGGGAAAGGCTGGGAACTAGAGATGCTCTTTTGACAAAGGTTATAAATGCAGAAGTTAGAGTGGCTGGATGATACAAAATAAATACAAGCTTTCGTGGCTGGAAGCAGGAATATTTATACCAAAGTTTCTTCGAGCAGTTGTATCTGCCCAGGGGTATTCGAGTGTCTAGATTACATCATGATTTCCATCTATCAGAATGCGACGAGTCAGCCCCCCCTGCAAGGAGGGTAGGACCGTCAATTAACTTGGTGGCACAGCCGAAGCGGGGATGCGGTACCTGGGTCGAATCTGGATATATAGGCCGACTGGCTATTCATTTATCCAGAGAGCAGACGGAGATTGTCTTTTGCCAGACAGAGTAACGGTGTTTTTTTTTTTTGGCTTGGACAATGACGAGGATCCGAATCAAACTTCAGATTTTCGTGACTCCTTTTCAATCGGGGCATTTTTAAAATACCACAAACCCCCAAATGTCTCCTCGTGCGTAAAGCCTTACAAACTGGGGTTGGCTAGTCGCCTCCATAACGACAAAGATTGATATATTGTCGCCCCAAAACGACGCCGCTAGTTGCGGCAAGACAACGAACGCCATATATCACTTCACTTTATTGCGACACACCCCCCCCCCCCCCCCCCCCCCCCCCTAAATAACAGGCAGCCCCGCTTCTATAGATCTACTTTAGGAAGGAAGCCTCCACAGCCCCCCAGAAAGTACGTACTTCCCTAGGGCAGATACTACAATACTGTAAACACTTTGATAATTCGTCTTTGGCTAATGTACAGGCTAACAAGAGAGGTATAGCGGCCGCCTATAAACTAAGCCTATTATAGAAGGCAGTCAACCCACCTTCCCACCCACCTACGCAGCTACCCATTTACCCACTTACCTACTTACCTACTTGCCCACTTGCCCCCTTGCCCACTTGCCCACTTGCCCACTTGCCCACTTGCCCACTTGCCCACTTGCCAACTTGCCCACTTGCCCACTTGCCCACTTGCCAACTTGCCAACTTGCTAACTTGCTAACTTACTAACTTGTACAGGGTAGTAGGGGTAAGTTAAAGGCCCCCTGTTATATAATATTGCTATATAGCCTAGCTAACTAGGCTAGTAAACAGTACTATAATGCCTACAACTAAAATAAGTTAGAGGGTAAGTATTAAAGTAAGATACCTAACAAGAGGTATAAAACTTTAGCCTAGTACTATTATATACTAATATACTTATTTATTTATTTACTTATTTACTTACTAGCTAGCTAGTCTATCTATAGTTAGCTTTACTAACTTATTAAGTAACTTATTAACTTATTATAATATTTATAATACTTAACTACTAGCTACTAAGTAAAGTTAGTCTATATATATAGCTAACTATATTTAGATAGAGAATAAGTTTAAAGTAAAGCTTTCTAGAAAACACTAAACTTTATTATAACTATGAACTAGAACTATTATAATATAACAATAAAACTATAACTATAATCTTAACTATAACTATTATAGTTAAAGGTAAGTTATAATTTTAAAAATAATATATAGTTATAGTAAAAGTTTATATAGTAAACAAGAGTCTTTTAAAAAATAGTTTATATATTATTATATATTTACTATATAAAAAGTAATATTATATATATATATTATAATTATTAACGTAGATATATAGTAAGTAAATTATTATAGTAAGTAGACTATATTCTCTTCTCTTTACCTCTTTAACCTTTGCAGTAATATTCTTTTATATATAAGTATATAATCCTCTTTAATTAAAAACTATATTATCTTAACCTTTTAAGCTATTAAAAAAGACCTAAAAGTATCTTTATAAAAAGAAGCTACTGTCTTTAATGTTCTTTATGTAACACTTTATTACTAATATATAAATATATTATATAATATAAGATATACTTAGAATTAAAGAAGATAATAAATATTAAAGAGAAGGTAATTCTAAAAAGAGTAAAAAACCTAAGTAATTAAAGGTTTCTTTTATAATAAGAAGATATATAAGATATAGCTAAATAACGTCTAAATAAATATAATATAATATATATTAGATTTTAATAAGTTAAGAACTTTATATAATAGTAACCTTAATAAAAATATATTTTAAATATTAGATTAACTATTAGAAAGTCTTAACTAAAAATCTTATAATTATAAAAGACTAGTTTATATATTATAAGATAAGTAAGACTATAGGCTAAGATAACTATACTAGTTATAGCTAATAAGCTATAGAGACTACTAGGGATAAGTATAGACTACTAGAGGTTATATAACTAAGAAAAGATTTATAAAGAATCTAAAGATAATACTACTAAGAAAGGCCTTACTATAGTTTTTTTTTCTTTTTTATCTTAGAATCTTTATTCTAGGTAATATAGTTATAAGTTATTTAACCTTAGTTATTATTACTATAATACTATTCTAAGATCTTCTCTTTATTCTCTAGGGATAAAAGATAATATATCTTTTATACTATTAAGCCTTAATTAATAGGCACCCTTAAACCTTATTTATAGTACTATTATATACTAGTTAATAATATACTTACTAATTAAACTTGTTTTTTATTAAGAATAGCTTAATTTATAAGTAATATAGTTAAATAGGTAATAGATTTAATAACTAACTAAGCTAGAGCTATAGCTAGCAACGGCTAGTCTTATAGACTAGCGACAGGTAAGGCCTAGTAGGGCACTAGCTGTTAGCAGGATATTGGCCTAACTAATAGATCTACTGGCAAGGCTAAGAAACTAGATCTAAAGGTTAGCTATATATTGTCCTATAATAAGTGCCCCCTTAATAATAGAAATAATTATTATATAGTAATTATTTAATTACTAGTTAATAAGATAGTTAATATTACTAGTTAATAAGGTTATTAACTATATACTTTAGGCTTCTATAAGGCTATTATAGCTATTATAGAAAAAGTATACCTAAGGGTTAATTATTCTTATTATAGTTATTATTATTACTACTATAGTTATTACTATATTTATTATTACTATATTTATCTCTATAGTTATTAAAGTCCTTATATTTATTAGTATTATCTTTAATAGTATTACTATTATTATTACTACTATAATCCTAGTTATTATTACTAGTTAACTAGTTAGGTTAGTACACTAGTTAGTTAAGTATATATATAGGCTAACTATAGGTTAGCTAACTAGGCGAATATAAGTATAAATATAGACTTTAGGCTAGTTAACTATAAGCTAGCTAGCTAGGTATATATATAGGTTATAAATATATAGGCTAGTTAGTTATATATATAGGCTAATAGTGTTAATAGTTATATATTAGTTAATAAGATACTAGCTAACTATAGGCAAGTTAGCTAGATACTAGCTAGCTATAAGTAAGTTAGCTACTAGCTAGTTAGCTATTAGATTTATTAAAGTTATAGTAATAATCCCCTATATAAATAGATCTATTATTATTATCCTAGGGACCTATCTTTATAGTGTAACTAGTAGTATTATTATCTTTATTATCTTTTTTATTCTTATCTAGAGTATCTTAACTATAGTACTAGGTAGCTTTAGAAGGTAGTAGTAGTAGCAGCAGCTAGTAGACCTAGTGTTAAAAGGACTAGATTTTCTTCTCCTGTTCTTTAAGACACTAATAAATTAGTTTACCTCTTATTAAGTAACCTCCTCTAAGTCTAGGATATAGTTAATAGAGCTTCTAAAGGTATAGTTTTTAAAAGTATAGCTAGGTATATATTAGTAATAGTATTAGTAGTAGTAGCTTTAAGTATCTTACTACTAGCTAAGGGTTTTATATATCTATTACTTATTTATACTAGTAGTAAAGTATATCCTTATAGTTTTATATTAGTATTATCCTTTAGTAAAGGGTATTAATAGTAGTATTAAATCTTATAGTAGTAAAGAGGGTTAGTACTACTAGTAAAGTAAATTACTTACTTATAAGTAAAGAGAATAGTAATAAGATAGTTATTATTAATAGTAAATATAATAAAGTTAATAAAGTTAATAAAGATAATAAGTGTAATAAAGAGGGTAATAAAGGCTAGTAGTCTAGTAGGTAGTAAAAAAGAGTATTTTAAGATATAAAGTCTTATTATTAAAGTTAGTAGTAATATTATTAGCTATAGTTATTAGTATATATATAGTAAAAAAGCATAGATCTTAAGGGAAATCTAGTACTACACTTATAGTAAGGCTCTAGCTAGTAACTTTATTATTATTATTATTTAAGGGCTTTAATTAACAGTAGCTTTAGTAGTAGTAACCTTAACAAGAAAACAAATAAAGTAATAAAAGTAAAAAAGTATAAAAAAAGGTAAAAAAAGTAAGGTTATTAAAGTAAAGGTTAGTAATAGTAGTGTTAGTAGCTAAAGGTATAGTAGATCTAGCTAAATAAGTTAGTCTAGCGTAGGCTAATAAAGCTAATAGTAAAAAAATCTACTAGTAGGTATATATTAGTAGCTAGGCTAGTAAAAAGATATCTTTAATTAGTTACCTTTAAGATAACTAATTAAATAGCTCTTAATAGTAATTTAGTATATTTACCTTTTATTATTATTAATAACAGTAGAAGGTTAATACTTTATAGTATTATAACTAGTTATACTACTACTTAATATAGTTAAATAGGTAATAGATTTAATAACTAACTAAGCTAGAGCTATAGCTAGCAACAGCTAGTCTTATAGACTAGCAACAGGTAGGGCCTAGTAGGGCACTAGCTATTAACAGAATATTAGCCTAACTAATAGATCTACTAGTAAGGCTAAGAAAGTAGATCTAAAGGTCAGCTATATATTGTCCTATAATAATAAGTACTAGTAGTTCTACTACTTTTAATACTAAGACTTTTACTTTTATAAAAGCCTTACTAGTTAACTAATATAGTACTTTTATAAAAAATAAAGAATAAGACTTTACTAAAGCCTTAGGCTTTAATTTTAACTAACTACTTAGTAAAGTTAAAATAGACTACTTTTTTATATTTACTAACTAAGTTACCTATAGCTAATATATTAATAGCTTAGTTAATAGTATTATAGACCCCCTTTAGTTAAAGAATATTAGCTTATTTTAAAATAAAAAAAATATAAATTTACTTAAGAGCTATTTAAAGAGCTTTAATATATATATATAGTAAGTAAATAATTATAGTAAGTAGACTAGTTTCTCTTCTTTTTACCTCTTTAATCTTTATACTAATATTCCTCTATATATAAGTATATAATCCTCTTTAATTAAAAACTATATATTCTTTACCTTCTAAGCTATTAAAAAAAACCTAAATATATCTATATAAAAAGCAGCTACTGTCTTTAAGATCCTTTATATAACACTTTATTACTAATGTATAGGATATATTATATAAGATAAGATATAC